GGATTATATGGGGGTTATATTGGGATAATGGAAAAGAAAATGGAAACTATTATTTAGGGTTTAGGGTTATAGTCCCTCTTAAGTAGATAGAATATGGGATATATGGGAATCTTATAATATACCCAAAGCCATATTCAAGCTACTTAATTGGGAATATAAGCCCTAAACCCTGAACCTCCCAGGTTCAGAACGACATGCAGAAGTTGGATGACATCGATCTTGATGCTCTGAAGCCTGCATGGGGAGACAGAGATTCAGCCCCTCGCTGTGATGATCTGATTATCTCTTCCCTCAATAACAGACCCAAGCGATTATGTGGGGACATATGGGGAAAGGAAAAGCAAATGGAAAAACTATTACTGCCTAGGGTTTAGAGCTTAGATAAACTAATGAGCCCAGACCTTCACAGTAGAAATCTCGCGGGCTTGCTGGTACCTGGCTCGAAACATGGTTCCCTCAACATGACCTATTGTCCTCAAAGGGGGAATATATAGGGAGGGGTGTATTATAGGGGTTTGAACTAGGGGGGATACTAGGAGTTTTAGACAACGGTTCATGTAAGCTCTCAGCTTTCTTATGCCCATCCTGCACCCAGCTGCTGCACCCGGATCTGCGTCACCCTAAGGACTGCTAGAATCTGTCAGCAATAAACAACGAAACGAGCATTGTATACCCTTACCGAGCGAAAGCGTTGGCGGCTTGAGGCGTGGAATCATGATGCCAAAAAAATGAAGTACTCTTCCCTGCGAACGCACAAAGCTGTGCTCCCTTTATTGATGTGAAGAGCTTCTCATTTCACACACTAGGCTGTGGAAAGCCTCCTTGCGCATGCTAGTGCGATTTCTTCCATTGTGACGATGTCAATGTCCACTGTCTATGATGGCCGACGCGAGCACGAGCACAACGACTACAGTAACACTGCTGGCACCTGCTGAGACTGCTTGCACCATATTTTCCTCAGCCATGATCGTGAGCTTGGCTGCAGGTTCGCATGGCCAGGAAGAGCCTCATTGGCTGCGCACAGGCAGGGTGCACAGCTTCCGTCAGCAGAGGGCTCCAGTTACTGGTGCATCCTGCGGCGTGTGGTGTATCAATACTTCCAGGTTTGTATTGAGTGATATTTTGTAGGCTACTGCACATGGAGAGAGCTGCCGCAAGTTTTAGTCTTGATTGCGCTATGAGATGTTTTAGCCATTTAGGCTCCAGTTGGGTTGGGCGGCTCAGAAGGCCTTCGACTCCTAGAAAGTGGTAGCCATGGCTCGTGGCACTGCAACGGCTGTTGCCCTTGTGGCAAGCTGCTTCCTTGCAGGTGGCATCATGTTTGTGCCTGGATTCTTCCCGTCCACTGCGTCATTGAACTCCTCCAGCGCAGTTGGTCGCCAGGCCGAGGCCTCGCGCCCGTCCGAGGATGCCACGACGGCCAGCTCGCTGCAGGGGCTACTGGGCGGCCTCGTGCTCGGTTTGGTGCTGAGCGCGGCGACCGCCTCTCCAGTCCTGGCCGAGGATGCAGCGCCGGCGCCCAAGCAGCTCTCGGATGAGGAGATCCTTGCCAAGGGCTGCGACATCCGGGTGGACTGCAAGACCAAGGAGCAGCAGTTCGCCTATGCCAAGGCTTACTACAGGAAGTACAACAGGGAGAGCGATGGCAAGGACCCCAAGTACAGCGCCTCATCCACTGGTGGCGGCATTTACCGCAAGTACAAGATTGACCAGTACATCAACAAGTTGACCGACGAGCAGATGCCTGCCGATGGCACTTACAAGATCCGCCCCGATGCCGTAGCCTTCCAGCCAATCTGGGAGAAGTACAACAAGGACCTCGTTGAGCGAGTTGAGAAGGTCTACGGGATTTCCGATGAGCCCATCCGCTGGAACGGCGACTACTACGACAACAAGCTGAGCCCGTACAAGCCCGCCCTCGGTTGGTACAACAAGTGATTTTTTGATCTCAAGATCCAGCCGCGACATTCTTTGTGACTAGCTCCAGCGTTCAGCATCAGATTGCACAGGTCCACGTTGCATTCATGTTCCATAGGCCTGTCCTCATGCAGTCTCCCGGGATACACAGGCTTTGAAAGCTTTTCCCAGGCGGATGCGGGCACGTGTATTGTGCTGGCTACTGCCATGTCCGTAACTGCCGGGTGCTCCTCAAGCGCCTTGTGTCATTCTAACAGCATCAAAAACATTGTCTTGCACAAGCAGCAACTGTCAGATGGACTTTGACCAGAGGAGTGCCAGAGAGTGAGAGGTGCCAGTAGACGACTGGAAAAAGGAGTTTGGCTCATGCAGTTGCCATGCATCCATAAAATTGCTACAAAGTACCTCCCTTGCATTTCTGCTGGCCTAAACCGTTTGCCTGCCAGGAGATCATGAGGCGCTTGGAGTCCCTCAAGTCTTACCTGGCCGTGCCCGTGTCGCAGCTTGGACGAAAAGTCCTCTCTGCGTCGCAAATCATGCTTGCAACCTGGGATTGTCTGTGTAGAGAAGACATCATGGCATCACTGATTCCTAACTTGGACTGACAACTGTAAAGGCTGTGAACATTTACAGCGTAGGGAGCCCTGTTTGGAGGATGTTCCATAGAAGGGATGCCCTAGTTGAAGACTCGTGCAGGTAGGCGGGGAGAAACGCTTTCAAAGGAACGGAGACTCTGCGTTATAGGAGTCAACCCCCCAAAGTGCCTCAGACTCCACCAAATCTAATGCTTGCGCAGTTTCTGTGTTGTGTGCTCAGGAAGTTCTCATCTATGATGGGCGGGCACCGGCAAGAGACGACCTTCTACGGCTGGGGTTTGGTACTTCAGCCTGTATTAACTGCCTCCTTACTGACCTTTGGTTAGCTGGGAATGAAGGAATGGAAAAGGACATGGAAACTATTAGAATGGGTTATATAGGGACTACTAGACGGGTCCACTCCTTCATCCCTAGAAAACCAAAGTCCTCCCTAAAGGAACCTCGCCTTTGTCTGATCAGCCACCCCCTTCGGAAGCCACATCCACGTGGGTCGAGATGAATGGGAGTTTTGAAAAATTAGCGTCCCTTTCTGGGAGTCCTTTGGTAGGGGTTCTAATATTTTGGAAACCAGGGCTCCGGCACTCTATTCTTGAAACCTCAAGTGGGTAGTGTTGTATTTCGGAGCATGTAATCTACAATAAAGGAATCTAACTTGGTTCAACCTCTGAAATGACAAGGGTGTTAGGATATGCTGTCAGTGGTTTCCAGGACTAGGCTCCCGTGTGGCTTTGAAGCTCCTTTCTTGTGGTCACCCCTAAACCCTAAAACCTAAAACCATAAACCCTCTGTAGGGAATCAGAGAATGGGTCTATGTTGTAGTTCCTGTAGTGGTCTCTTGCTGTAGTTGTTAGAACCCCCTACAGTAATTTTTTTGCTTTCTGCTATATGCCAGCAAGGCTTTGGGTCAAGAGGGCTGGAGTATATAGCCCCCCTTGCGTAGATAGAATCTGGAGTATATGGGGATCTTACTATAACATACGCAAAGCCATATTCCTTACATATCCCAAATATGCTGTAGTACAGTAGCTTCCATGTTCTTTTCCATTATCCCTATGTTAGCCCAATAGATAGCTTACCCAAAGCCATATTCTACCTACTTAAGGGGGACCATATACCCCAAACCCTAAACCCTAAACCCTTACTATAATATACCCAAAGCCATATTCTATCTACCTAAGAGGAACTATAGTCCTGTCACAGTGCTGTTCAGCCACCCGCTCCAAGCCCTGAGACTAAAAACGACATCCTGGAGAGGCCTCCCGAGTTTCGGCTTTAGGGTTTAGGGTTTGTGGTTTAGGAATGGGTTATATAGGTTATATAAGGGTATAGGGGTTATATAGGGTTTATATAGGGATATAAGGATTAGTTTGGGTTTAGGGTTTTAAGGTTTTAGGGTTTGGGGTGTGGGGTTTAGGGTTTAGAGCGCTACACCCAGCCTGGGGAATTCCATAACTTGGGTGACCCAATATAGAACTTAATATACACAGTTTATCTTGGGTACTGCCCCCACCCAGTAACAGTCTGTATTAGGGGTCCTATTAAGGGCTATATATAACCATAGTATAATTATCGGGCAGTACCCAAACCTTAATATGCACAGTTTATCCTTGTTGTTGGAAACTCTTTAAAAACAAGGGACCCCTAAGCTGTGGAAATCCTATTCCCTATTAAATCCCTACATACTGTCAGGGTGCATTTCCTTTTCCATTTGATTCTCCATTATTGGGTGGGTATCCCTTCGTTTTGGAACCCCCCCAGATAGTTCTGCCTGGGAACCACCCTCCTTTTGTGAAAGGAGGCCAGACTCAGCAAGGACGTAGACAGAGAGTTTGAGGGTTTGGGGGCAGTCTCAAAATTACAACCTACATTGAGTCCCAGAACTGTGTATGTTGAGTTCTCTCTAGGACGGGGCAGATCCTGTGGAGCCCAAGGAGAAACCTCCAGGCGATGCTGTGGGCATCCTTGTTTTCGTTTGGGCTTGGAGTGGTTGTGATTGTGGCGCATGGACTATGCGTAAGGTCTCTCTTCCACTGGTACATGTCTTTACACCTGGTATCACGAGGAGGCTTGAGCCCAGACCTCCATATGTGATTTCCAGTCGCAATGTGAAGCACTGGGGCCTAGATAGCATAAGTTTTAGTTTGGGCTCGGTTTTCATGAGGTGGGAATGTTTGCAGACCTGGTTTGGCTGGCCTCACGCAAGGATTGCAGTAGATGAGGGGGCATACATGCAACTTCATTTCAGATAGTTCCTCTGGCCGACCAGACAGAAATAGATAGGTACATGGGGTAGCTACTTTACATGCCCCAGGGAGCTTGCCCCCACGGGACATTGGACAGTCACCTGAAGTTGCCCCAAACCTGAAGTTCAAACCAGTAACTCCTTGTTGAGAAGCAGTGCTGAAACACTAGAGCCTGAGGGAGGGACGAAGGTATGCCAGACAGGTTTATGGTGTAGGGTTTAGGGCTTAGGGCTTAGGGTTTAGGGTTTAGGGCTTAGGGCTTAGGGTTTAGGGTTTAGGGCTTAGGGCTTGGGGTTTAGGTTTTAGGGTTTAGGGCTTAGGGCTTAGGGTTTAGGGTTTAGGGTTGAGAGCCAGTCGGTTACTCTTGCGCTTATTTAAGGACCTCACGCTTGCGTGGCATGCTGTGGGGAATAGCCACTTTACCCTACGATCCAGAACTCCGAGCCTCACGTGGGGACACGTTGGTTACTCGAAACCCATATTGAGACGTAGCCACCCCCTTCAGAAACTGAAAGTGGAAACACATGTTCACCTTGAAAGGGTTTATAGGGGTTATATAGGCCCTTCAAATAAGGTTTACAGAGGTTAAATAGAGACAATGATGGAACAGAAAATGGAATCTATTAGTTTAGGTTTTAGGAGTGAGTTTGCCTCCAGACAAAAAAGCTGAACATCTTCAATAATAATAGTAGAAATATCAGTGGCAATGATCTTTTTATATCGTAATGATACTTTACTAGTAGCAATACTAATAATAATAGAAATGAATATTGTAATCAGGTTCCATGTTAACTATCCATGTTCTTCTCTTTTTTTGATCCATTCTTGGATCAATATTCCTGAGCCCTATATACCCCTATGTAGCCCCTACATCCCCTTTAAAGCGGCCCTAGAAACCTGTGGAAACTCAGGTGCCAGGCACCCAAAGATATGACTTCTAAGTGCCACCCTACACCCCAAGCCTAAAACCACAGCGGGAACCCCAACCTTGGGCACTGTCCCCGCTCATTGGCATGCCCTGCTTAACGCGGCCCATATCTTTATAGGTTGTTAGTGGGTGGAGGCAGGACCCGACCCCTACCCTCAGAAAACAGGCGATGAGGATCCGCCAAAGGAGCGGAGCCGCAGCCCTCCCCGCGACACTGGCGCGAAAGGCTCCCTGGCAAAGATATTCTCAGTGTGTTTGGAGTGTTTAGGGTTGACACATTTGTAATCACGTTTATAAGGTGTGTTTTCTCGAGTTTTTAGAGTTTTGGGCTATGGGGTCTAAGGTGTGATAGTGGAGTTTGGGGCTTTCAAGGCTTACGGAAGTGTTTCAGGTTTCGAGAGTTGGGGCAAAATTCCTGTGGGGGCCTAACATATTACCAACAAATTGAGGAGCGGATGGAAAAGAGAAAGTAGAAAGCATGGACACCGGGTCCCTATATATGGGGGTTTGAAATCATAGGGAAAGGAGGCCCGAGCAGTTGCCGATATCTTGCGATCTATTTCATGTACAACAATGTTGCTAGTTATTCCACCCCCGTATTAGCAGCGGATCTGAATGTAGGGGTCGGTGTTGGGAAATTGGGGCTGAATGAGTCGCAGCAAGCAAGTGTCCTTACATACGCCTGGTTTAGAAAGCGACTCAGGGTTTAGGGGCTAGGGCTTTAGGGTTTAGTGCTCAGGCCTTTCAAGCAGGATTTAGCCTGTTAGCGCTAGGTTTCCAAAATGGCCGGTACTAGGAGGGCCGAAGGGTGAAGACACTGCACCCCGCGCGCGGCCCGCCCACTGCAAAATTCAGATCGTTGCTTGCAGCACCTGCGACTCATAGTAGGATACCATGATAGCTTTGGCTAGTGAATGCTAGCAGTTCACGCGGAATATGCCGGTAACGGCGTCTCACTATTTTTGGGTGCAAGAGCCTCAGGAGAGCAGCATACCGACTCCAGCGAGAATTCCGAGGAACGCTGCTTGGCAAAACCCCTACAGCCCTGAAACGAATAAGCCCTTACGACCTCAAAGCCCACAAAACTTTGCGCCCCGACCCTGCATCAGGGGGCAGGTCTTGAAGGACTTTGTATTGCGAGCGGTGTAGAGTTTACGGTGGCCTTGGGTCCTCCCTGCCCCCCAACCCTGGCCGGGTGCCTGATTGATAGTTCAAAATACCTGTCCCCAAAATGGCCATACGGTAGGTTTCCTTGCTGGTTAGGATCCACCTTTAAGGAAGTGTGTCCCCTGTTCACAAGGCCCTTTAGAACAACCCCCAATTGCAAAAGGGGCCCAACAATTCGTGCAATTCCACCATATTGCAAGTAGAGTCCATGTACGCAAGACTGGGCTTCGGTTAAGAAACTTAACAGAAATACTACAATGAAAATATCCGATTATTTTATCATATACCCAGAATATGGTGACTTAAACGGACTTCCGTAGCAGCAACCCGGAAGAGCAGCCCAGGAAAGCAGAATCGGGATACGCCGCACTTTCACTGGACTCGTGGGATGAAGCTGGGCACTGGAAACTACGTTGTCCGGAAGCAGGCATGGTGCCACTGGTGTGGATCAGGGCTTAGGGATTTAGGGTTTAGAGATGGGGGTTTAGGGTTTAGTCACTGCGAGCCAGCCCTCAAAGAAGCAGCGAGAATTAAGATTAATGGTATCACGAAATCGGGGGTGAGGGCAAAACAGTGCAAGTGTCGTTTCAGGGACAGATCCGTTACGCAGGCCACAGGCGTTGAGAGATCTAGGTTAGTCCCCTCGCTGAACATCAAACCCCCCGCCCCAATAATCCCATGGTGTCCCATGGTGGTATATAATCTATATTTCGAATGTTTCATATTAGGGGGGGCAGGGGGCGAGGGGTTGAATATTAGGGGTTGGGGATTACCACATCGGAGAGCTAGTCCGAAAAGGCCTTTGGCATGTTTCATGTTTGCCAAGCCTTCCTCCAGGCTTCGTCCAGAGCTTGGAAGTTTGAACACTCTTGCATGTTTCTACACACGCACGGAAAGCCAGTGCTCAATGGCTCGTCCTGGTGGTAAACCCTTGTATAATCCCAGTTTCCATGTTCTTTTCCATTTCATTCTCCATTATTGGGGTAATATTATCCACCGTAGATTGCTTCTTGTTGTCCTTAAGGCCTTCTCAGAAGGCCACTCCTTTCATGCGGAATGTGTCGTAAATCTGCTCTTGATCTCAAGGGCCTTTTCATTCGCATTTTTAAAGGGCGCTGGCTGCTTCGTCCCTGTAGCCAGGACTACATGGATACCAAACAAAATCCTGCATATCCAAGTGGTCCTCAAGCTGAACCCTAAACAGGGCGGGTCCTGGAAACCATTGATGCCCCAAGCCTCCGAACCCCAAAGCCTGAACCCTAAGCCCAGTAATGCAGAATACTCTTGCATGAGCTTCCAGCAACGGCGACCAGCAGGTGGGGGAGGGATCCTTCGGCCGCGTACTGGCATGCTTAGAGGATTCTCAGCATGTTTATTTAAACTTCAAGCGTGTTTCCAGTTAGGTGAATTAGGGTGAGTTACTGGTTCTGAGCAGGGAATGAGGGAACATAATCCCCATACAATATATTCCCATATTCCGTACTAAGCACCAGTAAGGTTAGGTGTACTACTAATGTAGTCATTTCTCTTCCTTTCAGGTGCAAGTAGCCGACAAGGTTGAGTAGCAAGGCTTTCCGAGCAGGATGTGGGGTCTCTTGTTGAGCTTCACTTACTGGTTCTTGGTGGGGAATATCATATGTGATTACATTCCCGTATTCTTTACTAAGAACCAGTAAGGTTGATTGCGAACCACATCCCTCAGAAACATCTCTTCTGGGTCCCTGCAGGCACTGTGCTTGCAGGAATAACCCTAAACCCTAATAGGAGTATTGGGCCAGGATGTGGGATTGACGACGCCCAAGCTGGAGAAATCAGGATTCGGATTGGATTCCGCATTCGGGCTGAAAGGGCTGTTCTCAGAGTTGTGGGCGCCTTTTGGTTATATTTTACATTACGGCACCTAATATTTAGGGTTAGTTCAAAGGGTGATGTCCGACGCCTGCTGCTACAAGTGCATGAGCCATAGTCTAACCTTCAAGGGGGGTTTATAGACATTTACCAGGGGTGCCAGTAGAGCCCACGGGTTCCTCTGATAATTCATCATATCAAGAAAGGATGCGCGCTCGCATTTCATAGAGGCTTCAAAGGCCTGGCTGTTTAAATACCTAAACCTGAACACTGACAATGCAGCCCCCTTCCTCTCTAGTAGGGATTGTACATGAGACTTGAACTTGGTGCTTCGAGAGCAAGGGCTTTTCAATCTAGAAGTAGCCATGCCTTCACAGGATCCCTACAACCCGTTCTTGGGGGTTCAGGGATTCAGAGGTAGTTCTACTTGGGATCATAGTGGTGGTCACTGGTTCTAACCCTGTTTGGGATACCGACCTAGGACGTCCCGCGATCCTCCGAGTAAACTCCCAGCTAAACCCTGAGGAATTAGACCCTACGCAGTTTAGGGTGTAGGGTTCAGGGTTTAAGTTTAGGGTACATGTTCCCCACCACATGCAACTTGAAGCTGAAAGAAATCTGCCCGAGGAATCCACAAAGCAGATTGTGGCAGTGAAAGTGGTCAAAGGCAGGACACAGACGGTCTTGGGTCAAATATGGATTGCACGGGCTATAAGGAATTATATCGGATTTAGGGTAAATAATTACAAATGAGGGAGAAGCAAATGGAAAAGAAATGGAAACTGAACTGGAAACTGGAGGAATGGAGGGGTTTATCGGCCCCTCTAAGCAAGCCCCCCGGACCCTGAAATCCGTAAAGCCCTAAACCCCTAAACCCTAAACCCCAAAAAACCCTAAACCCCCAAAAACCCTAAACCCTAAGCCTTGTTGCAGGCGTCGCCCGCTACAAGGAGCATGCGCATGCGGAAGCAGAGCTCCTCAGGGAGCTACGCAGATGTCCAGGGCTGAGGTTTTGCGGGTTTAGGTTTAGGGTTTAGGGTAAGGGCTTTAGGGTTTATATTGGGTTATATAATAAGGGTTGTATAAGCAGAATGGAAATAAAATGGAAACTACTATTTAGGGTTTAGGGTTTAGGCTCTACAGGGTTTAGGGTTAGGTTTAAGCTGTCTGGATCTAGGAATATTTTTGCGGGATCTGGCAAGTAGACTATAGGACCAGGGGTGTGGGCTAGGATGCGCGGGGTTTCTGGGATCTGGAATTGAGACTCACGCTTCGTTCGCCTTGACCCCATGTCCCATCACAGAGAAAACCCCAAGAGACACCTAAAGCTGAGGTCTTCTAGACATGCCTTGGCTTTTGCCCACGGGGCTCGTTGGGGTTGAATGTTGCTTGTTTTCGGGTCAGGTTTGGGCTTGGGAGTTCATGGTTGTGGAGGGGGTTTTGGGAGTTCATAACTGTAGGGTCCTGCAAGCATCTGCAAGCTGCAGAGGCTTGAGTCTGCCGAGCTGATAAATATAGCTCTCAGCATGCAACTTTGGAGCCACCGAGGAGGGCCATCCTAACCCTGGCAAGCAAACAACATCTCACAATATAACCCCAACATAACCCCATATAATCCCAGTTTCCATTTCATTTTCCGTTTTCTTTTCCATTTCATTCTCCATTATAGTAGTTTACCCCAACCTAAACCCTATTTCCCTGGGGTGGCCACTTCATTTAATGAAGGTGTAAGCCAGGGCCAGGGGAGCCTGGGGTGACATTAACACAGAGTAGGACTCGTAGGACATGGAAAGCTGAACGGCTTCCAGTAGCATTCCCTATGGTCGCAGTCTGAACACAAAAGTTCTAGTATAGATACTTCAAACCTTCAAGGTTGGGTTCTAACTTCTCAAACACCCATTTTTGTCAAGCCCCGTAAGCCCTAAACCCCTAACCTCACAAGGCGATCCGGGCAGACAAAGCTATTGCGTGAAGCTGCTGGGGGAGTTCACCCATGCCACGAATCACTGCTGCTTGGTCTTTGCCTCTAGGCCAGACTGTTTAGAGGTTTCAGGCTTGAGAGGTTGGGTGTATAGCCCCCTTTCAGTAGATAGAATATGGAGTATATGGGGATCTTATTATAAGATACCCAAAGCCATATTCCCTATATGTTCCAAATGTACTGTAGTACAGTAGCTTCCATGTTCTTTTCCATTATCCCTATGTTAACCCAATATATAGTATACCCAAAGCCATATTCTATCTACTTAAGGGGGACCATAGACCCCAAACCCTAAACCCTAAACCCTAAACAGCAGTTTCCATTTTCTTTCCCATTATCCCTATATTATCCCATATATTCTAATAGTATCCCCCCTAATAGCCCCTATAGTAGTCCCCTATATAATCCCTATATAACCCCCTTTCAGGAGTTTTGACTATAGCTCATATTCTATCTACTTCAGGGGGACTCTTGCCCTAAACCCTAAACCCTAAATAGTCTATCTACCTAAGAGGCAGTATTATCCCATATATTCTATCTACTTAAGGGGGACGAAAGGGGTTTCGTGCTTCGGGAGCTTTGGGATGCAGAGGTTGAGGGCTTAGCACAGGCTTTGGACCGGAAGCCTGACTATTTGGTAGGTTCTGGGTAGGGTTTAGGGTTTAGGGTCTAGGGTTTAGGGTTTAGGGTTGAATATTTAATGTTTTCCCTAATGGCTTTAATAGGGGACCCTATAAACTAATATTTTTCAAAGCGTTTTAGGGGCCAACCCAGGGTTTTTCTCCTCCTGAACCTGGGAACTGTCTGTTGTGATTGGATATGATATATCCAAAAACACCTCTGAATTTTCAGTTGCCAACTGCACATGGGGTGAGAGCTTTGCGGGTTCAGTGTGCAATTGTCCAGGCTCGACAAGAGGGCCCTGAAGTTAGGGGCCCATAGTTGCCATAGGTCAGAGTTGAGTGGGGGAAGAAGTTAAAGTTTCGGTACAGATGGAAGGTAGACACCGCAAGGTGTCGCAGCATGTCAGGGCACGGAACGGCAAGAACCACTTTCTCTTTGTTCTTCCAAAGAGGGAGCCCTACTTGAAGATGTGCACTCTCACTAAAGCATCGGGAATAAGGATTTTGGGTCTACACATAATTTCACTCCTACATGAGTTATATGAGGAGTAAGAGGATAATGGTTGTAATGCTTCAAGCTTCTACACTGATGAGCCGAGGAGCTGTTGGACAAGAGCCTTAGCGACTTCATGCGCTGCTCAGCTACACGGGGGTCTCTTCCAAATCTCCAGGGCTCGCACACATAGCCCAAACATTGCTAAGGGACACCTAACTTCTGCGCACCTCAAGATAGATTTTGCTTCTTGCTTACACACACGCATCATTTTGAAGTTTGCCGAACTAATGCCTTTGTGCCTTCGGGAGCTAGCGTACATATCTCCTTGCCAAGCTTGAAGCCTAAAGAAGAGGGTTTAGGACTTTAATCTTCCAAATTACTGCAAACGCTTCACGCAAATCTGAGTGTTTCTTGTTCTTCGGACCCGGAGCAAACCCTTGATAAACCTTTGGTCTTTGGATTGCTTATTGGTTGTTAGTAGGGAATGGAAGAGAGGATCCCTATAGTCGTGCGTATGTACTAAGGAGCGCAAAGTATGCGTACAAGAAGAAGTTGCAGAGACTCTAATACCAAGAACCCGCTGAGCGAGACGAGCATATCTACAAAGAAGGCATTTCATCGAACGTCTTTTTTTGTTATTCCGCGCTTGTGCTTTCGACAACGCAATGCACTTTTAGCGTCGTGTCCAACACAGCAAGGCGCCAGGGCTGAGAAAAGCAATGTTGTCAGTAAGTAGTTGCCATGTTCTGTTCCCTTCCTTCCTTCCCTACGAACCACCAGCTAACTTAAGCCCCATGCACTCCTATAATCCCCAGGTTTCCAGTTCACCTGTGCGATTTGATTTTCCATGCCACAGCCCTACACCCTAAATAGTAGTTGCCATGTTCTTGGCTAGTCCCTCATTCCCCGCTCGTTTCCTGCCTTTCCCCCCAAGGAGAAACTGACGACCAGGGGCTGATGCTCAGTTTCCTGGCTTCCTCCCTCTACCCATAGGTTCAGGGAGAAGGGTATCGGGTTGCTTTAGGCAAGGTTACCAGTACTCCAAAAATTACAACTAGCAATTTTTCCAGTATCATACAGCAGGCCCCAAGGCCGCTACCCTTGAATTGCCAAGCAGTTCTCGATCATGAGGGACCCCAACACAAACTGGTCTGCACTGATTGACACACCTGAACTGCTTAAACTGTCGACTGCGGGGAGTGTTTGTGGTATGCAGGGTCGGGAAAAGCTGTCTTAGGGGTATGAAACAGAAGTATGGCATTGCTCTTTGGTTGCATTCCGGGCTGGGAGTCCTACTAAACCCTAAGCCCCATGTGAGCCATAATCTAAGTACCTTAACGGGTGTTATACAGGGGACTATTGCAGGGGTTATTAAGGGGAATACTCGGAGTTAAGATTATAGTTCATGTCAGCACTCAAGTGTTATACAGTTTGCAGGCACGAGAGTTGTTGTGGTGCCTGCCGAACTATCTGTGCACTCTTTGGAACGCATTTCCAAAAACAGTGCTGGTATTTCTCCCTGGGAATTCATACGGACCCCCAGAACCCTCTTATAATCCTAATATCCCTCAGGCCCGTAGGGGCACCCCTTTCGGAGAAACTCCCTGCTCAGGAGATATCAAGACCATTGCCTCCCAGATACTTCAGTGCCTGCACTTTCTGAGCGCAATGAGTCTTACTCACACGGATGCCTGGCCAAATTCAGGGCTTAGGAGAGCACTCAAATCATACAAGTTATAACCTGTATCCCACTATTATATAGATACCCTCGCGTGTCGTAGCCTAGCTAGTTTAGGGTTGGTTTTTAAGGGGACTTGAAGAATTACATGGGGCATGTGGGAGTTCCCCAAACTGGTCCCCCACAAAGCCTACTAGTTCCACTATATGTCAAGGGTAAGGCCCCTCCATTTTGGGAAACTCCCATATGCTTTTCAGAGTAAGCAGACATTGCTCTGACTACAGCTCCTCTGACGAGAGCACTTTGCAAGTTGGCCGTGGTGTTCCTTGAAAGCTAAAAGAGCTCGGTCAATATTCGCCCTATTAAGGGACCCTTAGCCGTAGACATAGGACGCCCCTGTTGTAGTGTAGTATAGCCCCTACTATAGTCTACTAATCACATGGGAAAATATTGACTGGAGCTCATATGAATCCTACGACATGCGATGTATACAGGCTGGTTTCAAGATTGCATTCAGCTTTGCTGCACAACCTGCAACTCAGGATGCGGCATCGGTAGGCACAAACATGTGAAGACAGAAGGTAATACAGTGCCCATATGAGCTGTAGTCTAGACTCCTTAAAGGGCGGTTATATAGGGGATTATATAGGGGAGCGTTATAGGGGTTATTAAGGGGGATATTTTGAGTCTAGACTGTGGCTCATGTGTACATTCCCCAAAATGTGAATTTTGGATTGTAGCGCCCAGCGCTTGCAGCATGTCTTTGCAGACGGATATTCTCCCAGATTCGGATCTTGCTTCTAGACCCCAACTACGATGTGCCAATATTGTCGTTTTTCACCACCGCTCCAGAGCCGATAGAGTTTATCTCAAGCATTTCGGTCCGTTGTTGGCTCTTCCTTTGCGATGTGTTTTTCTGGGGCTCAGGAACATTTCATAGGATGTAATGCCCATGAATCTCAGGATATCAAATGCCGAAACGCCATGCTGAAGGATTCCAGGGGCGAAATGGCTTCCGCCTCAGCCCGGGTTCAAACTGCTTGCCCAGGCAAGCGCCGTTCGGGCGTATGGTGTCATTGGAACGGCTGTTCAAGTCTTACAACCAATGCAGGGGCTTTCCAAAATTAGGGGCACCTGTTTTGGCGACCCTATCAAGTTAGGGAAACGAGTATGTTTGTCTTGCCATCATGACAGCTCCTCGTGATGGTTTATCGCTGTGTAGTCCTACAGCTTGTACACGAAGATTTGCTCGGGCAAGCACTGCTTCAAGGTCATAGTTGTAGGGTAGTTCCTTTACATTGGTGTTGTCCCTGGCGTGTGCTGATGTATTTGGTGGTCCGTTTGTGCCATTAAAACAGCACTACCACCAATGGCAAGTGCTTCTGCTCTCGCTCGCCTGACGCTGAAATCCAACAGTGTAATTGTTGTCCTCATTGAGAGCAGCAGCAGCGGCGGCGGCGGCGGCGTCGGCGGCATTAGCAACAGCATCCTTGCAAATCATGTTACCCAAGGCGACCATGTAAGAAAGCCATTCGCTGTCATCTGCTACTTTGTATTTCTGTTGCCACTGCCTCTGCCGCTGCCGCTGCTGACTGAGTGCTGCTGCTGCCGCTGTAAGCGGCGGCAACCGCGACAAGTTCTACTGGTGGTACGACAACGAGCAGCGGCAGCAGTAGTCGTCGTAGTAGGAGCAAAGATAACAAGAGCAGGATAGTATGCAGTAGCTGCAGTAGTCGTCCACTGATTAAGCTTGGAGTCGGGATCGACCCATTACTGAGGTTCCGCACCCTCGAAAGACAGGGCGCGAAACCAAGAGGCTGCATCGCTGCGACTCCAGGCAGCATGTGGTTTTTCTCCAAAGGTACACCCGAAAGCCTGGACTATTCGGGCTCCAGGAGATAGGGGGGGTCCGATCAGGATTACTCAGGCGTCGTCTTGACAGGCACTCGTGTTGGGGCTTCATGCAGAGGAGTGGGTTTGAAGTGGGCCTTGTGCATCTGATCCTACAGTGAACCTCAGGAAGTTCGCGTCATTGACTTTGGTGGAGCCGTGCTGCCTGCTCAGTCTGCTTACGGCGCACCAACACTAGAGTACTTATATTTCATGCTACGGTTTCTGCAGATCATGTTCTTCCTGGCAGCATGGGTTGTGCTGGTTTAGCATGTAGACAGGAGCACTGTCTGCAATGAGCAGTCAGAGGAATACGGTCAGAGGTCTTATCATATGCGCCCTCACCACGTTTCGTATCACACTTGCTGTGCTGAGGCTGAAAAAGGAGCGGCACAGCAAGCGAATCTTGGCCCTGATGTACACGCTTGAATGAGATTACAACAAGCATGGCCACGTTTACCGCAGAGAGCGTTAGGATCAATAGAGTGAACAAGCACCCCAATCCCCTCCTGCTAAAAAACAAGAGACAAGCAGTCCCATTGCAGCTCAGGAATCGGGACCAGGCAGTACAGGTCTCCGGAGGTGGTTCTGGGACTTCCTTGGGATGAGAAGACGGATGCAGCTTGGTCAGCAGAAGCTGCCCTTCCGTGATACATTTGTGTGTGTTGGGAGCGCGTAAGGTTGAAGGTTTCTAAGGATTGTGCACAGTCCAAAGAGTGTACTAGGGGAGTCTTTCCTTTTACAGAAATGGTAGTTTGTTTTAATAGGGGGGCCCCAACATAGACCCCAATATTCCATAAGTCTATAACCCTTGTCATGGGGACCCTCCAAAATGGTACCCCCGAGTGTTGGGAAATTGCAGAAGTATCTTCGTGTGGACCCTTCTGAACCCTTAAATCCTAAACCCTAAACCCTAAGCCCTTATCCCCTATACCCTGAGCTTCGTGTGGACCCTTCTGAACCCTTAAACCCTAAGCCCTTATCCCTAAGCCCTGAGCCCTAAACCCAAAGCCCATTAACCGCAGACCCCTGGGTAGGCCCCTGGGATTTTTAATATTTTCCCTAATGGCTTTATACTAATATTTTTTCAAAGGGTTTTAGGGGCCAACCCAGACCCTAAACTCCTGGGCTCCGAGTTGACCTCGCTGAACCAAGGTTTGGAGCAGGGAGCTGAGTTGCAACTGGCGGTTTAGGGTTCAGGGTTTTTAGGGTTTAGGGGTTTAGGGTTTAGGGTTTGGGGTTTTAGGGTTTAGGGTTTAGGGGTTTTAGGGTTTAGGGTTCGCAGTTTCCTGTGAGTGCTGAGGGTTTAGGGTGTATGGTCCCCCTTAAGTCGATAGAATATGGGGTATATGGGGATCTTGGTATAATGTACTCAAAGCCACATTTTACCTCAATATCCTTGAGCATTATTTTGAATATGTAGGGTAGTATAGCCCCAAGCGGCGGTAAAAAAAAACACTTTCTTATCATAAGTCAAGGGATTATAGGGCAGAGTCCTCCTTTTGATAAAGACGCCCCATACAGTACCTATCTCAATGTTGGAGTGATGGACTTCTGGCAACCTGGAATTTAAAATTTTCGTCCTAAACCCTGAGGTAATCATGAGAGCTTCGGGGTTAGGAAACCTTCAGCCAGCCAAATTCCGATTTAAGTAGCTTCGCTCTTCCTTACTCAGGCCCAGGCTTCAAGTTGATTAATCTGCGGAGAACTGGTTCCTCAGCCGGCATGAGTCTATGCAAGTCCTACATGGCAGCTTCCCAAAAAGGTGTCCTTAATTTTGGGAAGCCTTAAGCCTTAAGCCGTATATATATCCTTCTATTAACCCTTGTAAAACCCGTATAAACCCCTTTAAAGGTGCCCCCTAACTTCAGGAAACTCCTACATCCTTTAAGATCCATCAGCCCTGTACCGTTGCCTGCTGCGCGATGCGCATGCTGAAGCGCTACTCCTAAAACCCTAAATCCGTAAACCCCTAAACCCTTAACCAAGTTATGAAGGAAAGGATCCTTAGGAGCCATGGGGTTTCGGGGTTAGGGTTTAGGGTTTACTTTGGACTTAGTGTAGTTCAGGGTTTAGGGTCTAAATTCTTGAAAGGGGGTTGTATGAGGAATTATGCAGCGGACGACTACAAAGTTATTAAGGGGAATACCAGGAGTTTAGACTACATCTCTGTTACGCAGTCCACATTCCGGTTCCCCACGGGACCCCCAATAAAACGGAGCTGAACATATTGGGGTCCCGCTATTTAGGGAAGCTACCAGAATGTATCCCCAATAATATAGTGACTATAATAGTTCCCCTTTCTGTTCAATTCCTTCATTCCCTATGACCCCTAAACCCTATTTCCTAAACCCCAAACCCTATACCCTAAACACCAAAACCCCATACCCGAAAACCCAAACCGTAAACCCCATACCCTCAAGCCTATAACCTGAACCCTATACCCCAAACCCCGAACCCTTTACCCTAAACCCTATACCCTCAACCCTAAACCCTAGACCAAGGTCTGGGCTGCATACTCCTGACTCTCTATACTGGAGCCTGGGTCAGTCTTCAACAACTTTTGAGCCATAATCTGAACTCTTTAAAAGAGGGTTTATAGGGTTTAGGGTCTAAACTCCTGCTTTATAGGGTTTAGGGTTTAGGGTCTACACTGCTTAAAGGGTGCTTTTATAGGGTTTAGGATTTAGGGTGTAAACTCCTTAAAGGGGGCATACAAGGGATTGTATAGGAGACTGCATTAAGGGAGGTGCAGGAGTTTAGACTACGGCTCATTTGGGGGTTTGCGACAACTAGGCGTACCATATTGATGCTGAAGATGTTGGGCTTAGCATTTGGTGCTTAACGTTTACATGAGTACGAGAGCTTAGAAGGAAAACACCGAAAAATGAAAATGAACGGATACGAGGTCTCAAAGCCAATTATTCCTTATCAGCTACAGTCTGAACACCTTAAATGGGGGTTATATGGGGGAGTATTATAGGGGCTATTCAGGGCAATAAGAGGAGTTTATTTTGACTATAGCTCATATGTGAACGCCCTGCGCAAGCCCAATAACAAGGGCTCTCTTGGGGCCTCAGACCAGAACTCCTGAAACATCTAACGAAAGACCAATACCTGATTGGGAAAGAGAAGGCAGAGTAGAGCCGGGCTTTAAGATAGATTGGGCTACAGAATAGACATGGTTACACTTCGCTAGTTTTTGATCGTATGCTTAGCGAATACAGCGAAGGGTAAGTCCCTTGAACCCCTAGAAAGACCTCAAATCTGAAACGCTCAAGCCTTAAGCCTTTGCACCCTTGACCTATGCCTTAAACCATATGGTAGTTTCCCAAAACAGAGGGATGCCAATATAGACCCCAAAATAAAATAGTCCTTATGATGGGGACCCCCAAAAAGGTACCCCTAACATTGAGAAACCCCCCATATACCTCAACTCCGCATTCCTAACGGCTCAGGACAGCGGCCTTTCCCAGTGCAGAACAGCCTGCAGCATTTGGCCATCATGCAGCGGGTGATTGGAAGCTTTGCCACGAAAACGAACAACCCAAACCCTCTAAAGGATCCGAAAAACGGAGCCGCTCAATAATCTATTTTTTGGGGGGGTTCCCTTTTTTGGATCCTTTAGGGGGTCTGGGAATTTGGTTCCGGTCGCTTGTGCTTAAGGAATTCGGGGAGTTGGATTTGGATTTCATTCAAGATTTGGCTTAGGTTTAAGGTTTAGGGTATTTGTGTTTAGGGTATTTGTGCATTATGGTGTGGGGTATTTGGGTATTTGATTTGGGTTTAGGGTTTAGGGTATTTGGGTTTCAAGGTTCAAGTAGGCGTCTAGGTGGTTCACCCAATCCTCCCCTTGCAACAGCGGGGAGGCATCCGCATGAAGTGCGCAAAGGGACAGGTACCGCGGTGCAACCGCGGCCAGGAGAATCACGATGGAGATCCGGACTTTGCACAGGCATTTCCCTTCAGACTGCAACCTCTCACCCAGGTCATACAGCGTAGCTTCCCAAGAAATACTGGTACCATATTGCAATCATTCTGACGGGCGGGGGGGATTCAATGATTGAGGTGCCCAGTCCCTCCCCATGACAGGAAACCTTAAACCCTAAAACCTAAGCCCTGAACCCTTCACCCTATCCCCTAAACCCTCAACAGCAAACGCATGCAAGGAGAGCTGCCAAGGGAGATGGTGCGAAATGCTGCAGCAGGCTGGTTCTTGACCCTGGCCTCACTCCTTTAGTTGGGAAAGGCCAGATGCCTTGAACATAGCCATTACAGTGGTTTGGGTGAAAGATCCATTCGCCAGTCCCGATTGAGCATGAGCAAGACAACCCTAGCAGGGGCTGAGCTGTGGGAGACTTCAACTGAACTAGCCGCAGCGCTTGAGAATCTGTTGGTGGCTGTAAGGCAGCCTTTCTTAGCAACCTGCGCCATGATTCAAAGATTTCACTTCTAGCACAAACATTAAGCCCCAACCCCTATGGGTATTCACAGCATCTCCCAAAAAGGCTGGGAAGGAGCGACGTCTAATGATCAGAAGCAGGAATGATTGGATAGCTGAATCAAATCCTGGCCCTGATTGAGTGGGTTATGCGGGCTGTACAGGATTGGCAGGCAGATTCGGCAAGGCTGCTGCAAAACAGAGGAAGTAATGAAGTTCTCCATCCTCATCCAGCTTGTACAATCCTATCGGCAAAGGGAATCCTGAACCTAGCTCAGGGAGTGTGATGTCGTTTGCGTAACAGTCGCGGGTGAAGAACGTGTCTCGTTGGCATCAGCATGGCTGAATCCTTTGGACACAAGACTTAAAGATTCATAATTCAATGTTGGATTTGGGCTCAGGTTTCAGGTGGTGATTGCTGCTTCGAACCGCTTACATGACTCAGCGGCAAAGTTATCGCATGGCTACTGTCTAGTTCACTTGCAATGGGCACGAATGCTGCTACTTGTGCTGGCATTTCTCCTGTTCCCCATCCATGTGGTGTGCCAGGTGGCAACTTGCCAGAGGATGTCTCGGCAGACAGCCAAGGTCCGATTGTAATAAGGGGATTTTGGGTAACCCCAACCCCCAAAACTAGGACCCTATAGCCATCATATATGAAAAGTCATAGGGTCCCCACTCCGGGGGTCGGGGTTACCAATCGATGAGGAGTCCTGCTTCAAATGTAGGGGGTCCACTGTCATCTGTTTAGTTACCTAAGTCAACAGCTGTCCATATTCAATCCATAGATAGAGTCCTTTAGCATGGTTGGTACCAACAGCCAGCTTCAAAGAAAGAACGAAGTCGTTCTAGATTGTTAAGTGTCATGACTTGCAAGCATGTTCGCAAAAACCTCAGTCAGGCGTTCTGCAGCTGAACCGCAAGTTCGTCGACGAGGTGCGGCAGAGTTGCCCAGGATGTACCTTCGGGGAACATGGTCGCAAACTTTGCCGCCACAAACCTGTCCTTGCATGTCCTAGCAAGTTCCGTAGGCTTTATTAGACTTTGTGGTTTTGGGTTTAGGGGTTCTGGGGCTTACGATGAAGGCCTAGCAAGTTCCACTCTGGGACAACAGTTGGCCAGAGCCTTGAAGATTGAAGTGGTCTTGGCTCAGACGCCAATCATAGGAACCCCGTAGACGGTTTGGTGCAAGTTGTACAGAAACCCGACTGTTTCCGAAAATTGCGGTCACATATCTCTCTCTCTCTCTCCTCGCCGCAAATACTATAATGACCTTAAATTAAATCCTCACCACAGGAACCCCAGAAAAAGATTCCTAGGCATCGATAGAAGCCCATTGTCCATTTGATGTTCCACGCTCTTTTCCAGTTGGTTCTCCACTGGTGGGGTAATATCCCTACACCCTCAATAGTCGCTTCCATTCTATTTTCGATCCCCCTGTATACCCCTGTATAGCCCCAGAGCAATATCCCTTTTGGAAACCCCTAAACCCTAAATCAGGCCAAAGAGGCGATCAACATGGCCAAGCCACTGCAGCAACGGATTCTTCCACAGCACAGCACGCTCTTAGCACTGCCGGGGCCTTGTGCTTACGTTTCAGGGGTACTATCCCCCTATAATGGAGAATCAAACAGAAAAGTAGACGGACAATGACATGGAAGGGTTTAGGGCTTAGGGTTGGATATATTGAGGCTTAGCATGGAATCTGGGAGTGCATTGGGTATATAGAGGGATAATGAAAAAGAAGATGGAAAGTATTACTTTAAAGTAGTGTACATTTATTGGGGTTATAGTATGGAATAAGCTAATATAGTATATACAGGGGCTATGTAGGGATCATATTCCCTTATTCCCTACTAAGAACCAGAAATTAGGTGAGCGGGTCACGGAGTAGAGGTCAAGCGTCCAAGTAATACTACCGAAGGAGTTGCTGCATGGTATATCTATGTAGCACTATAGCTTTTTGTTTGGAAACCCTCTTCCAACTGCGTAGTCGCCTCTGGCATCCCGCGTGTATTCCTACCAGACAATTACTGTAGCATATTTGTTGCGGGTGCTGATGTCTCACAACCCCAATCCGGAGTGCCAGTTTGCGGGGTTGACAAATGTGGCTATGAAGTTTGGAATTTGATGTATGGCAAAAGCCTTACCATTGAGCAATCTGGCTTTATGGCACTGCGAACCCAAGCAGAACTCCATGATTCCACCAAGGACGCGTGCTATCAACCTAAACCAGGGTTGCTGGCGAGGAACCTGGATGAACTTACTAGAACATGGCGACATAACAAAGAAGGGGATCTCCCCTTGATGATAAGCCTGCTTCAGCTCCTTGACAGCAACCCGTAAGCCTGCAAGGCTAGAGCGATTGCTGGCCCCGCTTCCAGAGAGACGTGTGAGGGCAGAGGCGCAAGGGCTTTGGGGCAAAAGTGCATAGTGAAATAATAGTAATGATAATAATGATAGTCATAATCGTAGTTGTAGTAATAATAGTAATAGTAATAGTAGGATTCCTGTTTGGGAACTTCAGAGGGGCCGTGGTCAACCCACAGGTGAGACTCAGACAATTGTTATGCATGCGGTTCACATGAGGTGCGAACAGTTGGACTTGGAATGCCAAGCGCTATCATTCACAATGATTGATTAATCCCATCAGCTGGTTACATGTCATGCGACAACTTGATGACATTCAGTGGGGTGTCCTGCCTGCAGTCTTGCTACTTTTTTTAAGCGCGGACTCATCTCGTGTGTTGCACGCAGCGCAAGACTCAAAGACATGACCTTAGCAGTCTTAGCACCAAGGAAACTTTACTTTGATTGCGCATTGCTATTCTTACTATTTTCTATTATCATTGTCCAGGAAGACATCGCGGATCGAATAGAATGATGGTAGTTTGGTTGCGGCTTGTAATCGTAGTCCTCTACAGCAGTCCGTCCGGGCTTTACTTGAAGAGTTTGCCGGCATCCTGCATGCATACCCTGCACCCTGAATCTGGCCTTGTCTCAAACTTAAGTCCCATCTAGATGTCACACAGTATAAATTGAGGACCTTGCAACCCCTAAACTCAAACCTCCCCAAGACGTCTGCCCAGCGTTCTGCCTACGGTGGTTTAAGCAGTAAAACCACAATTGGCTCAATAACGTCCTCAAGGAAGACCCCTACAAGATCTTCGGAATCCCGGCATACGCCTGTGGCTCTGGGGAACCCCCTCGTTTGCCAAGCCACCCCCAAATCCTAACCCACGTTGCCAGGATGCCTTGAAAGATCCCTTCATTGCTAGTGAGAGCATCAGCGAGTGACGCATGTGGCGAAAATCCTGGGGGGCTTCTTGGGCTCTGTTGCTTATGTTTCAGAAAGTTGCCAAGAGCAACATAGGGCCAGATAAGTTGATCTGTAGAACGCACAGGCTGTATACAATTTAGATATAGAAAACAAGAGGCGCTCAAACAATCATCCGCGGGGAAGTGCTGACTCACTTCAGCTGGAGAAACAATAGTAGCTCAGCCCTGAAAACGGCTTCGAGGGTGCTATTGGATTGCACACGCTGAACCCTGAGTGATTAGGAAGGCACAGTTGCAGAAGCAATTGCCATAACTTGACCAAGCCGAACACAGGGTAATCCTCTCCCCAAACCTCCCACCCCCTTCATATTAAAAACTCCCTAGTGTGGTATATTATAGTCTATTGGAGAGTATTTAATATTAGGGGGGTGAGGGGATTGAACCTTAGGGGGAGAGGGCTAATGTCTTTACTGCGGACATCATACATGAGTCTGGCATGCATTGTTTTTGGTTCGCTGTCCCATGAAAGTTTGACCTTTTGTGCTGCCGTGTATACCCTGCAAGGCCCCAAAACAAGCGCCTCCAAACACGCGTGGTTGTTCCTTACGATACTGGGTCCTTAGCCCCCCTTCGACCCGCCGCAAATCTCAAAGGCCGGAGGCCCGAAGCCCACTCCAAGCCTGATCATGTAAGCTTGTAGAATGCAGGCACGGGCCTGAAACGCTTAAGGCTCCGTCTTAAGCCCCCAACCCTTCTCTTCCAACTTTCCCATGACGTCCGCTTCGGATTTCCGCCTCCAACAACTGGAGGACTTCGGAATGCGTGGGGCGGGATGTAGGACGTGGGGAGTCCAGGGTTACTGTAGGCTTTGGGCTGTATGGTAGTTTCCCGAAATGGGGCGACCCCAATATAGACCCCAATATACTACAATCCTTATTATGGGGACCCCCAAAAAGGTAATCCTAATTTCCCTGTATCGGGTTTTGAGGCTTACGGTCGCACAGTGTTGGGCAAAGCACTTTCAGCTTTTCTCAAAAGTCAAATTGATTCGAAGCTTGGCCAATTCTATGGTAGCGCGGATTCTCTGCAGAAGTCTAATCGTGCTTCTATCTTGGGTGAGCTCCATACAACAACCCCCACATAACCCCTATATACCCCCCATATAAATACTAGCCCTCATATTACCCCATATAACCCCTATGTAGCCTCTATCCTGTCCCGAATTCGCGCAAGGCACGCCTGAGCCGGGTTGAGTCAGCGCTTAGCGCCTTTGAAGCAATGGTCGGGATTTTCATTGCTCGCAAGCCCAGAAGAGGCCGCTCAAAAAGGACCCAGACCAAAAA